AACCATCATTAGAAGTTGTAAACAATTGGAGTCACCCGGAAGGCCCAAGCTCGAGAGCAGTTTTGCCCTTGGGGGTCAAGATCAGCTGCATTTAAAAGATGCTAAAGAAGCTTGTTTCAGGAATAGAGTGGAATAAAACAGATGCGACGGATGAGTGCTGCAGTCCATCCTGCGCATATTCGCAGGCTCACTAGTCCCTGTCACTGTTGGTAGCACGATAGGGATTTCGGGTACCCGGGTACAGGATGAACTGTCCAACCACATGGCTTGCAGCGCTGTGAAAACTTGGAAGTGGGCAATTGGACCATCGTGTTGGAGGGCTTGAGCTCCGTAGGATGGCAATTTCTTGTACGTGTATATAAGCTGCTCGTCTGGACAATCCAGTTGTTTGATGTTGTTTGTTTTTCACACAGTGAAGCTATAAATTTAATCCTTGGGTTCCAGAGGCATGTTCGGATTGGAATGACTACGCCAAGGCCTTCCTATACGGTGCCCCCAGCTGTATTCATTGGGGATTGCACATCATGGCCATGGATAGTATCATGGATATATAGGTGAAAACTCCGAGGCACCCCAGTAGATAGTCCAAATCCTGGTTTGGATGTGAGTACTCAATCACATCACTACTATGCCAACACATTCCCATTCTGCAATGCAATGGACGGTATTCTGAAGCGTGGCTCCTCCTGAGACTAGGATGCAGCAACCTTTCTGTGCGAAGGAGGAGTCACAACTACCATGGCAGGGTCCAAAAGATTTTGTTGGGGAAGACTCTGGTTTGGCAGGGCGTTCATGGAGGGTTGCTCTCGCGAACTAAACCTGGGCAGAACTAACTGAACCTGTCGACCTCAGCCTCTGACCCTTTGGCAGTATGGCACTGATCTTTATCTCAGGCATCCTGCAGGGGTCTTTGAGCAGCAACACCTCAGATAATACTGGATTCTAGGACGGTTCATGTGGGGATTTATAAAGGAGTACGATTTAATTTAGCTTTTGTTTTTGTTGTTTTAATGTTACGTAGTTTTTTCATATATATTTTTGCGCAGCTTCTGGCTTCTGTGGCTTTGGGCTTTCGTGGATTCTAGCCTATGCGAAGGAAAGGAGGGAAGGAAGGAACGCAGGAAGGAAGCAAGGACGAGGGCTTCTGAGGCGTGTGGCTTGTGGCTTGTGGCTTTTGAAGGTCAAATTTAGAGGAGGAAGGTGCAAACCGTTTGTAAGCCACCAGGTAGAATTTAGATGAGGAAAGTGCCAGTCCAACGGTGCAGACCTTTAAATTCCGGCGCTTGCCCTCAGTGCCGGGATGGTCAGATACTTTGTTTTCATTGCGGGGCAGGCGCTGCGCCCTCCCGCGCGCCCCTCCCGCTTTCTTGATTTACATGATTGCTACGGGACAACTAAGTACCAAAACCACTATCTTCTTTGCATTGACAACGCCAAAAAGGTGGATGATAAGGCCCGCCTTCTCTTAGCTGTGACAACGCCACAAAGAGGCTTTCAAGGCTTTAGCTGTTTATCTTTGGTGCTAATATGAACATGTCTAACGGCACATGACCTGCAAAACCCCACAATGGTGGAAGCTGAGGGCCACTTCGACCTCACCCAACTTTCAACATAGCTTCTTTCCGCACTGGTCTATCCATTTGTCTTTATATCTGTCTACCTACCCATCTAACTGTCTATCTATCTACTCATCTGTCTCATCTATCTATATCGACTTATCTATCTATCTATTTCTCTCTTCTCTTTCTCTTTCACTATATCTCTCTCTCTATCTATTTCTCTGTATTTGCACTTCCAAGTTCAAAAAGTGCTGCACCTGCCAGGTTCACAAAGTACTGCGCCTACCACGAAATCTGCACTTCAAGGTCCACAAAGTACTGCGCCGGCCACGAAATTTGCACTTCAAGGCCCACAAAGTACTGCGCCTGCTACAAAATCTGCACTTCAAGGTCCACAAAGTACTGCACCTGCCACAAAATTTGCACTTCAAGGACCACAAAGTACTGCACCTGACACGAAATCTGCACTTCAAGGTCCGCAAAGTATTGCACTTGCTACGAAAAGCGAAAAACATCACAAAAATAGACAAACAAATCCTAAACTAAATACGAACCCCTTTACAAATGCACCATTTGGATGTAAATCAAGAAATATATATACAGTATAGAATATAATATATATATACTGCGAGACTCAGAGACCAAGAGCGGTTTTAGTCGTTTTGCCCTTGCCATTGAGCCACAGCTAATCATAAGTATTTCTTTGCATTTGTTTTGTCAGGGAATCCAAGAGTCCAAGAGAATTGCGACTCCTCTCAGGTGCCAGAGCTCTCAGGTTGTAGCATGCGCTTCAAAGAGGTGCAAGTGAAAGGCCTGGAAGGACTGAGATGGAAGGACATCGCCAAGTTGGGTTCAACCAGGCAGGCACACCAGCAGCAACCACCTCGCAGACCAATTGATTGCATGTTGCTTTTCCTGTTTGGGGATTTTTTTTTGTCCTACCGGTTGCTTCTGTGGTTTTTGGTTTTCTTGGCGCTTCTTGGTTTTCGGTTTCTTGGTCCTTTGGTCATTTGTTCCCTTGGTGTTTTGGTTTCCCTAATCCTGGGGCCTCTCCCTTAAGCAGCACTTTGTGGCAAGCCCCCTCCTGCTGAAAAACTGCACGTTCCTCAGAGGTACCAGGCGACTACACTGCTGGGAACCTTCCTAAACCCCCACAAGTAGCAACCCAGCAAAACCAACAAAATGTTCCAAAAGGATGCAAAAACAATCAAAACACATATTGCCGCCCCTGCCCTGTGCAGTTTGCAATAAAACACCTGGAAATATTTTAGTTCTTAGTTGTTGATATTGTGCTACGCGGCGAAAACACCTTGATTGCATGAGATCACATGAAAACAGTTGAAACATGTTGAAACAAACCAACGGAAACTTGGAGAAGAAGAACTGCCAGAACTGTTCATGAATCCCCAGCCACTAACCTAGCCCTCACGTTGCCCCTTTTCATCCTTGGACCTGTATTGCTTTGGGGATGTCCTTGCTAAGACACAGGAGGACATGTTTGCTCCATGTGTGGTGTTGCAGCAATGAGGACATCAGAAGTGTACTACAAGGAAACCACGCCGCGCTTGAAGATGTATTTGAAAACATAGTTGCTTGTACAATTGTTTGTGTCTCCACAACTACTTGTTACAAACGAATCATTCAATGTAATATGTGCATCTCTTGAAGTACGTATAATTCATTGACTAGATCATGAAGGAAGTGCTGTTGATGTAGCCAACAGAGGCCTAACCAAACCAACGGCAATGTATTGAGGATAAACGTGGATTTTTGGGACTAGTGTTCGAGTCCGCCTGATTTTCGAGGCGACGCCAGCTTTGCACTTCGAAAGAAGAAGTGGAACGCCCCAGATGGACATGGCGGGCTGATGACTATTGTGAACGGATCTGTTTCGAGGGAGTGAGCAGAGTAGACTAGACAAAAGAGTTTGAACAGGGTATATTATCTATATTATATATATATGTATATGCTACTGTTGCGGAGTAGTATATGCCCTTTTCAGAAAGAATGCATACATTGTCAATGTTTGAGAGGAGCAGTTGGTCCTACTGTTTGGAACCAAAACCTGTGACGTATGTAGAGGCTTCACCGCGTAATTACTGCGCCATGCAGAGTCAAATGTTTTCCGGACGTTTGGTACAGTATTTTTATATGCAGTGTGGTTTGCTGTCCTGTCCCACAATTCCCTCTCTGTCATAGCTGGGAAGTCAAAAGTGATGTATGATTAAGGTACTGTGGATCAATAAGGACAAGGCAAACAGTAGCTGTTGCATTGGGGGACAGACAGAACGATAATGGGATGTAAGGGCTGCAAATGCTCTTCACTCTTCATTGGAACATGCGTTCAGGGGGTGTGACATCACCAAAGCGGGAGGATAAAGCAACCAAGGCGAGCGACTTCTTCCATTTCCCCAAAGACTGACTGCCACGAGGAAGCGCGAAGGAAGGATGAGGAAAACAGATGAAAACAGCTTGAATTTCTGAACCTACTATACATGCTGCTGCATATGCTTCAAAAGTGTTCAAAGAATATTCTAATGTTGTTCACTTTCACATTCGTTCCATTTTTCCCGCCGATTTACAGTAACTATCAGTAACTCAAATCTTTGTAGTCGGAGACGAGCTCATGGTGCGTATGATCATTTGACACGAACCAAGGCTGTTCTTTCGGCAGCACCCAGTCAGGCTCAATTGTACGTTTTACTTGCGCACTGACCAGTTGGCTGGAAGTTTTTGCCTTAATTTTGCTGCGAAACCGAGGCGCTTGTTGTGCTACGAGCTTGCTGTGACCTTCAAATGGGAAGGCAGGGTTACCAGTTTTGGAGGCAGACAGATCCACAGACCCGGCCAACAGCTCCCCATAGCTGCACTACTACCCAAAACTGTTCGCGTAAAAGAACTTGGTTTGGAAGATCATCTCCGAGTCTTCGGGTCGGGGGCGGACCACGCGAAGCCGGAATGGGTTGGTAATGTTTCTTGGACCTTTGTCAGGAGTCGATGGCTTCTCCAAGGACGACCCTCCCCCTGTTTGAAGCCCAAAGGAGAAACTGTTCACGGTCACCCATGGTCACCGAGCTGGAGTGTTTCGTGGATGATGTGCAGGGTTCCATGATGTTCCACGCGGCCAATTTCTTTGCCTCAGATCACGGTAGTTGGGAAGTTAGAATCACTTGGGTTCGTTTTAAATGGATCCTATTGGCTATGGCTATGGTGTATTCTTTCTCCAGCAGGCAGCTTACTCAAGGCAGCCATGCTTCACGGGACATGGAATTGATAGGTTTCAGGTCTGTTGGAGGCATGTCCATTTCCCGATTACCCTGACCAAAGCATAAGTACAACCAGAGGGTCAACTTTGGCCTTCCAAGCCATAGAAATTGTATAGCCATGTAAAGCCCAGTGCAACGACATCATTTTCAACCGTGGCGGCTAGAGCTCCAGCCCATGCGGCCGCACAGAGCTGCAGCTTTGAGGGCGGCTACTGCAGCCCAGGTGTTGACCAATTTCGGCGAGGTCTTCACGAGCGGACATGATGCGGCTAGAAGTCACATGGAGACCTTTGAGGCACAAAATGTCGACCTTTTCATCAGCCACTCTTGGGGAGCAGAGGGTTACCAAAAATACCTAGCACTTTGCTATCACCTGAACGTGAACATTGCCATCAAGGTTGCCTTTCTGACCTTTGCAATATTTGGTCTCGTTCTTGTTTTACTGGCAGGTGGCCCTGATGCTCTCTCTGGGAGTCCGGCTTTGCTGCCACTCACAGTAGACCTTCCTGTGGTCGTATTTTTCATATTCTTCTTCTATGGCCATGTCTTGGCATGCGGACGGTGCTCCCCCTCGCTGTGGCTGGACAAGATTTGTATTCCACAAGCAGATGAAGTAGTGAAAGAGGAGTGCGTGAGGCGCTTGCCGGAGTATTTGAAGGCGTCTTCTCAGATGCTTGTGCTTTGGGACCGTACCTACTTTGAGCGTATGTGGTGCAACTCATTTGCACTTTATTGATGTTGCAGGTGTGATATGGATAAGTCCTCCGTAAACTTATTGTCCAAATGCAGTGGTAATTACTGTAAGTTTCATTTTTGCGCAAAAAGACTCAAGCAAGGCAACCTCAAGAAGCACACCGACCGTCAGGCTGTGGTGATGCTGCCCTTGTGGCTGGCACCCTGGCTACTTTTGATCATTCTCATTGATTGGATGAGCATTCGGATTTTCTCCCTTTGGTGGGTGGTCGATTCCAGTGGAATACCCAGCGTTGATGGCTCCTACCAATCCTACTTCATGAGAAACATCGTGTACCACTTCTACAATTCCTTGGCCTATATGCCTGCAGGAGTGAATGGCAGCTGACAGTTCAGGGTTCCATGTAAACTGCACATACCAATTCGTTCATAACTTTTCCCGACCTGCCTTTCTGAAGACTACCTCTTCCTTTGTATGTCCTTTTTCCGACTAGCTCCTTCTTTGGTGCGTCTTTATCAGATTGTATTGTAGGGTTGTTCATCCAAGTCCAACAAATACCTCACACTCTGTACAAAAATAGAGAAGGACATGATGTGAACGTTTGATGCGTACAATTACCTTACGTAAGGATATGTTCTTCACGCAACGAGTTCGTATTGTCCCTGCTCCTTTTTTTTTCGTCAAGATCTTACAGGACTTCAATCATTGCCTGTTTGCAGCCAAACCGCACTCAACAGAGTTTCTTCAGCACAGGACTTGTTGCTGCTTTGGTCTTCCGAAGGAATCTGCAGCTGCACCGCGCTATGTTAAGCCAGCTTGCGGACTTCGAGGTGGCCTTGGGTAACAGGTGCTTGAGAAGTGGTTCACAACTGGTGACAACACGTGGCAACAAACAAACCAGAGCTCGCAATCTATAGGCTTAGCGATTCAAGACCACTCGTACCAGCACTAGGGAAGATGAGGGCAGCAGTTTCACAAAGCAAACAAGAAAGCTCACATGCATTCCTGTTCATGCATTCTACTGTATGAGGTTGTTTGCCTGGGAATGTCGTGTGGTCATGGTCTCATTTATTGCGACATGCATGCTTACTTTGCCAACACCACTTTGCCCTTGGATGTTGCCATCTCAGGTGGTCTCTGCGGTAGCCGCAACTGGGTTTGGGTAAATTGACACGAAAGCAAATTGTTGCAGCAACCATATTGAAAGTGAAAATGAAGGTCGGCACTTGCGTAAAATCCTAGTCTGAGACGCCCAGTTTGGCAGAATATTGTTTGCGTTGGTTCTTATTCGTACCATGTTGTTTGTATATATTGAACCTTTCATGGCAGCACCCTGAGGAACTCTATTCTATGAACTGCTGTGCACACTTAAACTACCTACCTTACCTTGTTTTTTGTCAGATCGTCGGGGCACATCGGCACATCACCGCCCAATCGCAACGGGCTTGTGAACTGATCGTAACGGCGCGTTTTTGTTTTTCTTTGCGAGAGGAAGGGACGCTACTAGGTTGGAGGCCATCGCTATTAGGTTGGAGGCCATCGCTGTTAATTATATAGGCTGGAGGCCATCGCTATTGATTAGGCTGGAGGCCATCGCTATTAATTAGGCTGGAGGCCATCGCTATTAATTAGGCT